TTTCATACTCCATCCTAGTTAATGGCTCCCCTTCCGAGTACTTTAGACCCTCGAGAGGACTTCGTCAAGGTGACCCTCTATCTTCTCTGTTATTTGCTATATGCACAGAGGGTTTTTCAGCAATGATAAATCAGGCAGTAACCATGAGACTCTTGGAAGGAATAAGGATTCGTCAGAACTGTCCTATGATTTCTCATCTCTTCTTCGCTGATGACTCTTACCTTTTCGTTGAGGCATCACGTGCTTCTTGTTCGAATCTATTATCATTGTTCCAAGATTATGAAAGACTGAGTGGACAAAAGGTTAACCTTTCCAAATCGGCAGTACTTTTTAGTAAAAATACTAAGGGAGAAGATGCGAGTCTCATGGGCTCACAGTTGGGAGTTGGCGCTATAGGAGAACAGGATTCTTATTTGGGTCTTCCTTCCTTAATACCGAGAACCAAAAAGGATACATTCCTGTATATTGAGGAGAAGATGGGCAAAAAGTTGCAAGGTTGGAAACAACGTACCCTGTCCAAAGCAGCTAAGGACACTCTAATCAGAACCTCTGCCACTAATATACCAGTTCATGGTATGATGTGCTTTAAATTCCCAATGGATACGTGTAGACGTTTAAATGGCCTCTTGGCAAGGTTTTGGTGGGGTTCTGCTACTAATTTTGATCATCCAATCCATTGGGTGTCATGGAAAGGTCTCGCCCAAAGTAAGTTTCATGGAGGATTAGGGTTTAGGGACTTTAGGGCTTTTAATCAAGCTCTTTTAGCTAAGCTATGTTGGCGTATTTGGTCGAATCCTAATTCTCTCATTAGCCGATTGTATAAAGGAAGATATTTCAATGAAAATACGATTTTGGAAGCAACCATAGGTTCTAATCCATCCTGGGGATGGAGAAGTATTCTTTATGGGCGAGAACTACTCGTGCAAGGCTTACGATGGCAAGTAGGTGATGGAAACAATATAAGAGCATTCAAAGATAATTGGTTATTAGCAGATAAGCCTTGTCCTCCTGAGCTGAGGCGGCAAGAGGATATTTTCAATCCAAGGGTTTCCTTTTTCATCAGAGAAGACCTACGGGAATGGCACATCCCTAGATTAAGGTACTGGTTCCAAGAAAAGTCGGTTGATCTCATTCGTAATTTGGTAGTTCCCTTACTTCCACAACAAGACAAATTAATTTGGCACTTTACCAAAAACGGAACTTATTCGGTAAAAACAGGTTATCATCTTGCCCTGGATAATATTTTAAATCTTAGCCAAAAATCGATGGCCTCCATCATTGACCCTCCTATTTGGAAAGGAATGTGGGCTCTTGATGTTCCACCAAAGCTTAAGTTCTTTATATGGCAATGTCTGAAAGTTATTTTGCCAACTACGACGGCTCTTAGGTCCCGAGGAATTAACTGTCAAGTTCGTTGTCCGGTTTGTTGGGATAGTCAAGAGACTATTGAACACCTTTTTTTCCATTGTCCTCCTGCTCTTCACCTCTGGAATATGGTGGGATTAAACAATTTACTTCTCTCCGCCCCAATCAAAAACTTCGGTATCTGGTGGCGACATGTTATGAAAACGGAAAACTTCCAAATCCACTATCTCCCCTGCATTTGCCTTCTTTGGAGAATTTGGAAATCTAGAAATAAAGTGGTCTTTGAATTTACTCAACCACTAGCCACCTCGCTTGCCCGCCAATTTTTCTTCCAAGTCCAAGAATATGCTTCAGTGTCTTCCCTCCCCCAGATCTTGTCTCCCCGCCCTCAGCCCTCTCGCATCTCCAGTTGGCTTGGTCCTCCCGACGGTTTTATCAAGATCAATTTCGATGCCGCTGTTCGTGTTCCGGGTTGCTCATCAGGTCTCGTCGTTCGAGGATCAGAGGGGCAAGTTTTTTTGGCCTTGGGATTCCACCATCCAGGAGTCTCGGATCCCTATCTTGCAGAACTGATGGCCGCCAGAGACGCCATCTCTTTAGTTCACTCTCGCAGTCTTCCTCTGGCCATCATTGAAGGTGATTCTGAAGTAGTTATCCGGCAACTTGATGGTAGATGCTGTGAAGACTCGGTGGGCGGGCCTTTGCTTCGTGATTGTTTCCAGTTATTGAGCTCTTGTTCTTCTTGTATTCGCTTTTGTTCGGTCCCGAGGACTGTCAACTGGGCTGCCCATAGAGTGGCAAGACAAGCCCTGCTGCTGTCCCCTGTAGAGATAGCGTCCTTCGATTTTGTAGGGTGGCTTCATTAATTGTCTTTTTGGGGTTTTAGGTAGAAGATTTAACTATTGTACTATGGCATTACTTGGAAAAAAAAAAAAAAAACTATATGGTTTAATTAAGTAATGAATGACAATTAGTTACATTTATTTTGTTCATTTAGTAATTATATGTAATGCTTATATTATATTTTTTTCTCTTTTCATGGAGGTCTAAATACATTATGCATAGTTGAATCACTTTCAAAAATATGTGCATAAGTAAGGTAGAAAAAAATCATTTCATGCATTTCAAATAATCTATTATATCTATTATTATATACCATATTACTCGACAAAATTCTTCTGACCATCGGGCCGGCCCGGCCGGGTCCTGTGCTAATTATTGTTATGATTATTAATAATAATCATCTCCTCCCACTCGCGTTCACCAACATCAAAGGGAGGGAAAAATTATATAAATAATAAAAGGAAACGCCCGAGTCGTTACCACCCCCAACGTTTGGAAAAAATCTCAAAATACACTAATTATTAAAAAAATCCCAAAATACGCTAGTTATAAAAACAAATCCCCAAAGTACACATGTTTGACATTCACCGCCTTTGTCTAAGGCAGTGAATACAATCACTGCCGAGCACAAAAACGGTGATAGCTTCCCCGCATTTAATTAAGACGGTAAAGGCATCACCGTTTTAGTTAAACGCGAGGAAGATATCACCGTCGTAAACAAAAACGGTGATGACTTCACTGTTATACTCAAAAGCGGGGAAGGTATCACTACATTGAACGACTATGGTGAAGTGGCTTAGCGACGGGGATCGCTGACGTGGACTATCACGGGGCATTCACCGTTGTAGACTATTGTGGGGAATACCCTGCTGTCCACGTCAAAGATCTGCGTCGCTGAGCCCCTTCACCGCTGTCGTCGGATGCAGTGAGGCGTGGATTCTGGTTTTCCTCCCAAATCCGACGCCTCACAGCTATCCGCGTCGTTCACCACGTTCGAGGAAGGTGGGTAATTCACTACGTTCCTCAAACGCGATGATGGCCTCACTGCTGCATTTTTCAGCGGTCCCCTCACCTATAAATAGAACCCTTCTTCCCTCTTCCAAATCACACCACCACACTACTATTCATTCTCCCTCCATTCCTCCACTCTAGTTTCGTTCTAAGTATGCTTTGTGGTTGCGGCTAAGTCCGATCTTCCACATCATAAAGAATTAGTAGAGTTATATCCTAAATCCCGGCCCTCTAAAAACCCGTCAAACCTCTGTCCGGCTTCCGCCAAAAATTGGACAAAGAGGCTCTTCGGGTAGGTTCTTATTTTTCCGTTTGTGATTTTTTTTTATCGAAACAATATGATTTTGTGATTTCTTAATCAAAACAATCTGATTTCATTACGTTTTTTGTAGATGGCTGTCGAGATATACGGTCCTCGATTGTATATGCCAAGAGATACGAAGTATTTATCCGAGCAAGAATCACATCGCTCTCGTGCAATTTGGCACAACAATTCGGTAAACACTACGTACCTTATAAATAATTTACTTTATTTCATTATTTTAAAAGGTTTTATTTTGCTTTCCGTTGACTAACAAATCGATGTTTTTCTAATTTTTTTTGTAGGAATCACTTATTCCCGTAATTCATAGAGGGGCCACTAACTTGCCCGCTTGGCATGATCGAGTGTCGTCGTATATACAGAGGCTGGGCTAGGTATGTTGAGACATTTCATGCGGATTGAAATCGAAAACGATCTGCTTATGGCAATGGCAGAGCGATGGCACCCCGAAACTCATACGTTCCACTTTCCGGAGGGGGAAATGTCGATCACCCTAAAAGACGTTGCGATCCTCACCACGATGCCGATAAATGGAGAGGCCGTCATCATTTATGACAACTTCTTGGTACACAACCCCGTCAGCACTCATGTCTGGATACTGGTAAGTAATTTTACCAACTCTCGTCTGTCCGTCCGTACAAACCCTGCCTGCACAAATGTCACGGAGTTCTTGCCACGTGAATCTCGACTCAATTTTCATAATCAATCTCAATGTCAGAGTTTGTCACCCTACCATTCCACCGAATAATAAGCTAAAACTTCTTGAATGTACCCATTTCTGCAATTTACAACAAGTAACTATTAGCTTAAGTCTAATAAAATTAACCAAAACCATATTTTACACGGCTACGAAAATAATATTACTCCATCTCATAAACAAACACAACTAACTAAGCGAAACATGAACCACAACTAACATAACATATTTTCCACGAACAGTAATTCATTACATACATACATATAACTACTAAAAAATCATAATATAAACAATACAAAATTATATCATACCGAAAATTGCTTCAGTTATCGTAGTTGCTGGGATTTTTGCTTAAATTTGACAGAAGAGGAGGAGAGTATTTTTCCAACTGCTCGTGGGAGGGGGTATTTATTTGAAAATCAGGGCGCATTCACCGCCGTTGTGAAACGCATTAAAGGTAATCACCGCGTTGTCCTAAGGCGGGGAACATTAGGTGGTTGTGACCTAATTTTCACCTACCAGGTATGGGAAGTGGAAAGAAATCACCTCCATAACCTAGTGCGGTGAACTCTTTCCTCGCTTTACTCAAAAGGCGTTGAAGCAATCACCGCTGTAAACGAACACGGTGAAGTTTTCACTGTTTTAGTCGAACACAAGTGGACGCCAGCAAAATCCACCGCCTACTGATAGATGGGGGTAGCGCGACATATATCCTTTTAAAAAGCACTCTCGACCAAATGGCCATCGACCAGGCCTAATCAAGCGCGCGCAAGGGAACTTGGTAGGATTCTCATGAACAAGAGTTCCGGTGATCGGCGTGATCACCCTTCCGGTGGTAATTGGAGACCAAGAGCCGCGAGTTTCAAAACAGGTCGAGTTTACCATTGTCGACTGCAAGTCTCCTCACAACGGCATCTTCGGCCGACCGTTCCTCGCCAAGTTCATGGCTCTCGCATCAACATGCCATCAGAAACTCAAATTCCCTACCAAGGCAGGAATAGGAAAAGTTTGCGGGACGCCATGGGGAGTGCCAAAAGGTGAGGGAGAGGTCCGCCAGACCAACATCGTCGACACAAGGGCAGAGGACTCGCGCCCAGAATCCATGGACTCTAATTTCGAAGTCGCGCTCGATCCCACCAAACCAGAAAAGAAGGTCTGCATCTCAATGCACGTCCACAGTGACGTGATCGAATCGCTAATCGCGCTCCTAAAAGAATACAAGGAGTTGTTCGCCTGGTGCACTGAAGACATGCCAAGGGTACCAAGGCAAGTAGCACAACATTGCCTTGCAGTTCCCGCAAACGCGGAACCAAGGCAACAAGCACGATGAAGCTTCACGGGCGACAAACTGAAAGCCATAGAAGAAGAAGTCGCGCGCCTACTCACCGCGGGGCTGATCCGCGAAGTGAAATACCCGAAGTGGTTGGCCAACGTGGTCCTAGTGAAAAAAAAAATCCTCCGGGGCCTGGCGGATGTGGGTCGACTATACAACGATCAACAAGGTGTGCCCAGTGGACCCTTACCAGGTACCGCGCATCGACCAATTAATCGACGCCACCTCCGACCACGAGACACTGTGCTAGACATGTTCTCAGGATACCATCGAATCCCAATGTCCCGCGAAGATGAAGAGAAGACGGCTTTCATAACGCCATTCGGAAACTTTTGCTTCGTCGGGATGTCATTTGGATTGAAGAATGTTGGCGCCACTTACCATAGAATGATCGACTCGGTGTTCTCACAACAGATAGGGCGGAATATCGAGGCATATGTGGATGACCTCATCGTCAAAACCAAAATGGGCAACTCCCATCTGGAAGACTTGCGCGAGACTTTCGAAGCACTCCGCAAACACAGCCTTGAACTCCTTGAAGTGTGTGTTTGGAGTGGAAGAGGGAAAGTTTTTGGGTTTTATGATTACCGAGCGAGGCATCGAAGTCGACCCGAAGCAGATCACGGCCGTCCAACAGCTCCAAGCTCCAAGGAGCGCGGTGGAGATACAATCTTTAAATGGCAAGATAGCAGCCCTGGGAAGGTTCATACCAAGATCAGCCGACAAGTGTGCCCCTTTCTTCAAAATGCTCAAGAGCGGCGCGCGATTCGCATGGTCCAAGGAATGTGAAGCCTCCTTCCAAGAACTCAAAGCATATCTTGTATCCCCCCTGTACTGACCGCTCCCAAGCTTAATGGAAAACTTTTTCTGTACCTTGGGATGTCAACAAGAGCTGTGAGCGTGGTGCTAATATCCAGGAGAGACAGCTAGGGTGAACACCCCGTGTATTACACGTCGCGGACCCTAGTTGGCGCAGAATCAAGGTATTCCCCGATTGAGAAAGCCGCCTTGGAGCTAGTAAGCACGTCGCAAAAACTACGCCCCTACTTTCAAGCGCATTCTATCACAGTCCTAACCAACCTTCCGCTGAAAAAGATACTAACATCAATGGAAGTGTCCGAGCGGATGGTTAAATGGGCGGGTGAGTTGTCAGAGTACGACATCCAATACGCTCCAAGACCAGCAATAAAGCCACAGATACTAACAAATTTCATTGCCGAAGGAGTCACTTTTGATACAACACCAGAAGGAGTATGGGAGGTGTACGTGGACGGCGCGGCGAGCAAACATGGGGCTGGAGCGGGTGTTGTCGTGCGCACCCCAACGGGCGTCGTCCACGAAATAGCGATCCGATTCAGAGTGTTGAAAACAAATAACGCAGCTGAGTACGAGGCCATCTTGGCGAGAATGACGGCCGCCAATGAACTGGGTGCAAGAACAATCAGGGTGCTATCTGACTCTTCACTGGCAGTCAACCAGCTGAACGGGATCTTTAATGCAAAAGAGGACACGCTCGTGCAGTACATGGAGCGTGTCAAACAACGAGCAAGTACCTTTGAAGCGGTGATCTATGTGCAAATACCAAGGGAGGAAAACATGCACGCGGACGCGTTATCCAAACTAGCAACTGCCACCGACTTCGAATGGTCGCGCCTAGTCTCGGTTCAAAAAGAAGAAGAGGAAGCCCGCCAGGACATCGTGGTCAACACCACACAAACAGTACAGGAAGAAGACTGGAGAGCCCCGACCATAAGATACCTAGAAGACGGCGTGGTGCCAGAAGAAACAAAAGAGGCATGGACCCTAAGGCAGAAAGCGGCCCGCTGCACGCTCATCGGAGGGGAGCTGTACCGCCGGTCATACTCTGGCGTGTACTTAAAATGCATCAGGCAAGAAGAGACGTGCAACCTAGTGCGTGACTTACATGAAGGCTTGTGCGCAATGCACACGGGGGCGCGCAGCATGGAACGAACTATCTTGCTGCACGGATACTACTGGCCGCGAGTGAAAAAGGACACACAAAAATACGCAGACCAATGCCACAAGTGTCAAGTGAACGCGCGCCAGCATCACCTACCATCGACCGAGCTTCAAGGCAACCTAAGTCTATGGCCCTTTTCGCAATGGGGAGTGGATCTTTTGGGCCCCTTTCCCACGGCAAAAGGAAAGCGCAAGTACATAATTGTGGCGGTGGACTATTTCACCAAGTGGATTGAAGCGGAAGCACTAGCCTCGATAACCGCACAACAGGTGACCCGCTTCCTAAAAAATAACATCCTTGCGCGATTCGGTGTTCCGAACGCGCTCGTATTTGACCATGAAAAGCAATTCGATTGCGTGGAGGTGATAGACTTTTGCGACCAAGTTGGAGTCATTGCAAGATTAGCGTTGGTGGCCTACCCCCAAGCCAACGGCCAAGCGGAGTCAGCGAACAAAGAAATTTTACACGGCCTACACACCCGCCTTAACGAGGCGAAAGGAAATTGAGCGGACGAGCTTCATACAGTGTTATGGGCGCACCGCACCACATTCAAAGTGGCGACAGGCAAAACCTCCTTCGCCCTCACATGTGGCATAGACGCGGTGATCCCCATCTAGACGGCCACTAAGGAATAGGTAGCAAAGTACTACAACGCAAAGCTAGTTCCACATAAGCTGGTCCTAGGAGACCAAGTACTTAGGCGAAACTTCTACCCCGACCCCAAACATGGGAAACTTGGCTCAACATGGGAAGGTCCTTACCTAGTCCGCGAGGGTATTGGCGCCAACACATTCAAGCTCAGCGAGTTGGGGGGCACGAAGATCCCAAGGACGTGGAATGCGCAAAACCTCAGGATATACTGCCGCTCCACCTGATGTGTATCTTGTTAACAGCAGCGCCTTTTGCGCGAAGAATCATGAAATAAATATCAAGTTCGATAGAACATGCATAGCAATAATCATGAATTATTCGCGCCACCGCTCCACGAGAGCAAAACATACAAAGCGTCAATCACGAATTACGCAAAAGTCCTACAAAACACGAATAGCAATAATCATGAATTATTTGCGGCACCACGCCACGAGCGCAAAAACACACAAAGCGTCAATCACGAATTGCGCAAAAGTTCTACAGAACACGAATAGCAATAATCATGAATTATTTGCGCCACCACGTCACGAGCGTAAAAACACACAAAGCGTCAATCATGAATTACGCGTCACACGAGAGTAAAGATAGAATGGAAACTTTTTGGACTTCGATTAACGGGAGCAATATTCGCAACTACACTTGGTAAATAAAAAAAAACAACAAAGCAAACAAGTTCACAAAACGATATCAAACTAGCGCGACTACACTTGGTCAGTCACAACATTCTCAGTGGTAGTCCGCGCCGCATCAGCTTACTCTTCGATGCCAGACCCAGCTTCCTCATCCTCTCCCGCATCCGCGCGCACCTCCTCTTCCTCAGCCTCCGGCTGAGAATCGGACTCTAAACACCTCTTCTCACCCAGCCACATTTGAACATGTCGCACCATCACGCGAGTGTTCTAGTGGATTCCCGAATTTTCTGGTCGCACTTTCTTGCGAACCGCGATCACGGCCTTGGTCATTGCATCCGCCAAAATCTTCCCAAAAGAGGGGGACAATTTTTACTGGTGGACGGCAGCAACCTGCGCTGTACGCACAGCTTCCGCCTTCGCTACATCATGAAGGCGGACCAGATCTTCCTTCTCGTTCTGGGATTCCTCGCGGACCTGCCTCAGCTTTTCCGCGTGACCTGCCTCCAGCTGCTTCTTCTCCTCCGCCAACTAACTTCGCAACTCCTCCCGGATAGTGTCGCGCTCCTCCGCCCTGACCTGCTCCTTCGCCGCCTCCACGTCCTCTGCCAACTTGCTCTGCAGAACGCTGAGCTCCTCCATAGCCTCATTGGCGTTATTCGTCGCCACTTCCGCGCGACTTTCCGCACGACTTTCCGCACCATCGAGCTTTCCCTCCAGTTGGACAATCCTCGACTCCTCCAACTTCAGTTTCGCGCGGTGCGAAGCTTGCTCCTGCTGGGCTCGGAAAGTTGCCAGCAAACCCTACATTCACAACGCTACAAGACTTAGCAAAATTTCATTTAACAAATAAGACGGACTACGCGTAAGATCAACCTAATCTTACCGCGAAGTGAACATGAGCCAGGTCCTACAGCGGGTCTGACTTCTCCAGCCATGTGGGGACGCTCAATATAGGGCCAACCGCTCGCAGAGCCGTCTAGGCGGCAGAACTATTGCACGCCGCACCGGTGTGGATCCGCACATCGCGGAAGTAATTGATAGCGGCCGACGGCAGTTCCTCCAAAACCGGCCATCTCCGACAGTTTCTGTTGAATGGTCTCCCCGCACGGATTGGCAGCCACTGTCCTCTCAGGGTGAGAAGATTTGCCCACTCGGGCCTCGGTTAAGAAATCACCAGAGGCAGCTGCTGCGCTGCCTGCGCAGGCCGCTCAGCCACTCGAGCCGTTTTCCTTGGCTTCTCCGCAACCAACGGCTGCTCCACCTCCTTCCTCTTCGCGCTGCTGGGTTGCGCGCTCTCCTTCTTCTTTTTCTTAGCACGCGAAGCTCGAGGAGCCTTCACAACGTCATCAACCGACATCATGCTCGCCAAATTCGAGAAGTCAACACCTGCGCCAATAAATCGTAAGAAGGCGGTTAATATGACAGAATGCAAAAAGAAAGAAACACAACTAACCATCCACAAAGAGCTCCTCCAAACAAGCCTTGCGGACTCCGCTCAAGTACAAATTGAACTTCTGCAGCATGCACGCCTCATATTCGTCGTCGAGGCCGTCGTATTTGCCTTGATCCGACTCATATCCGCACGTACTGCCTTTTTTCCAGACAGTCGGCTCCTCCACGTGCTCACTCGCCCACTCCCTCGGAGTCGGCTTAACGAAGAAGAACCGCTCGAACCAGTTCTTCTTCAACTTTGGGGACCCATACACGAAACCGTCGGGTCTCTTGTCGCGACGCCTGATAGAAAGCCAATTGCTGTTCTCCGTTGGCTCCTTGATTTTGTATATCTTACGGAACAACCCGTAAGACGGCTTAATGTTAAGCCTTTTACGCACGAGGCGGAGGCATGACGCGTGCATAATCACCGAGG